GCTCTTCCCGTTTCTCCTCGCGTCCCGTAGTCCCTGCCCTTGGCACCACGTAAACCTCTCCGGCTCCCACGACGCCTTAGCGCCCACCTGCTTGGAGGCCAAGCTCCATCAAAAGCGAAGTGGTTCGACCCCGGACGTGGCCTCCAGGTTAACTGACCGCGCCTCTTGGACCATGGGCACCTACACCTACACCAGCCGGCCCCGGGCCCTGACCTGCCAGCGCCGCCGTTACCGAGACGGCCTTATACAGCCGTGAGTGAGCCACCCAGTCCCTGTGTGGTCCCCACCTGTCCCCGCCCATCGCGTGGTCCCTCCCCCCTGGTAAAACCTGCCTACGCTGCCTTCCCTTGTCTACACCTGTCGAAATACACTTTCTTCCCCGAAGAACTCTTTCGTGTGTGGAAGAATGAAGCAAGAAGGGGCATGGGTGGCCTCCCTTAGTTAACTTTTAAGGGATAATAAGTTGCTGGCATGATCGATAACATGTACGGGGATCCGGCTTATTTCACAAAGTTTGAGTCAACTAACGTTTATTGTTGGCCAGTGTGTGCCAAGCACCTAACCAGGGGTATTTACATACATTTTCTTTCTTAGTCCACAGTGCTGTGAAATTAGTTTTATGACTCCATTACGCAAATAAGAAAACCGAGTTAGTTGATAAGCAAGTTGCAGGACTTTGTTTATATTGAACTAATCCGTTGATTCAAGCCATTGGAAGGAGTGGGGTGTATGTGTGTGTATTTGATATTTCAGTTTAAAATTATCTTTATTGGTGATTTTCAATTTACAAAAGTAAGATGCGCTTGAAGCAAATGAAAAGTAAAAAATAAGGATGAATAAAGGCAATGTTAATTATCTCCTCACCACCACTCCCATTTCCCTCTCTAAACAAATTTAACAATCTTATATTATTATTCTACCCCTCTTTGTTTGTACACACACATATATATGAACATATATACATTTATATAAAAGGTTTAGTTCCAAATAAAAAATACAATTCCATAAAAATGGGCTTTTCTTCTCTGTATTAGAAGCTCTAATTTTTTTTCTAATTTTATGTATACATACACATACATATTCAATTTTACATAAATACCTATCTATCATTTTTTATTACCTGTCATTCATGCTCAGGTGTATTCTTAGTGCCCCAGCCCCTTTCCTGGCAAACCTGCTCTTCCTCTCCTGCCCTCAAGGTAAACCATGTTAGTGATCTTGCATGAATGCTTCTGTACAAATGTATAAAATATACGGACTGATACACGCATACAAGAGCTTTGTCTGCTTCGTAGCAACGATGACATACACAATTCTTAGCATTTTCCTTTTCTCACTTAATTCTTTGTGGAAATTCCTTCAATTATTTTTGATAGCCTGATAGCCCCTGGTATGGATATACTATATGAGTTATTAAAAATTTTCCACTGTCAATAGATACTCATTTTGCTTCATATTTCTACCACGAAAAAGGAGGTTTCAGTAAACAATTTTATGTACTGGCCTCTCAATATTTTTATGAGTCAGATTCCCAGAGTGTATATTTTTAATATGAACAGATGGAATAATACATTTCTCCAGGAATGTTTAAACATATCCTTTCCCCACATCCTCACCAGGAATAGGTGTTTTTGTTTGTTTGTTTGTTTTTTCTTTTTGGCTTTTGATAGCATGAAAACTAAACCAAAGTCTTTCCTCACGATTAGCACTGTGTGGCTTTAATTGAGTAAGCCTGTTTGGATTTTTTCATTCTAACAGATCACTGGCTACAATGTATAGAACAGATTGAGGGGGAAATTTTGTTCTAGATGGTTAAGAGACTTTTGCAGTGGTCCAGGTAAAAGACAGTGGGGGCAGTGAGCAACGTATAGGTGTGAGAAAGATTTGTGGAGGTAAACTCAATAGGACTTGCTGGATGGTAGGGAGCTGGGAAGAGGAAAGAATCATGGCTGACTCCAAGGCTTCTAGATTAAGCCAAGTGCGTGGTTAGTGGTACCATTTAATGAAATAGGGAACACTAAAGAAGTAACAAGTTGAGTGGGAGAATAATAATTAGTTCAATTTTGAGGTTGCCTTTCAGACATCTTTAGTGAGATGTCAATGAGTATATCAATCGGATATACATGCCTGAAGCCCAGAGGAGAATTCTGAGCAAAAAATATATAAAATTCGGAGTTTTAGGATCATAAGTGAAGCCTTAAGAATGGATGAGGTCAGCTAAGGACAAGAGAAGGCTGAGCCCTGAGGAAATCCTCCCATACAGGAGGAGGCAGCAAACACAGGCTGAGAAAGAGCAGTCAGAGAAGTCGGAGAAAAACAAACAAAAGAATATGGTTATGTCACAGAGGCTTGGGAAGGAGAGGGCTGTCGTGAATGGGCTGCCGGCTGAGCGGAACACTGCCCAGAGGTCGAGTAAGAGGAGCAGCGTAGATGCCTGGGCTCTAAGTAATATGAAGTTAGATTATCCAGTAGTGGTTTCAATATACGATAAATCAGCTACCTGCTAGCCCTCTGAGAATCATTTTTGATAGAGTACCATTACTGGTATACAGCGACACTTGGTTTCATAACCATAAATAGGAGATCATTTAAAGAAGTTGAATGAAAATGTCAACTGTGTGTTTTTCATTATTGATCATTATGATGCCCCAAATTAAAATTTTATTAATATTTAAAACAGTATAATGTAAAGAGATCTTTGAGGTTAAAGAACAATGAAAAATTTAATTTGTTTTATTGAGCCTGATTTTATTAATGTAACTTTTTATCCTTGAATCAAACTTTTGCCAGTTCTTTAGGGTGGGCCCCTTTTCAATTGGGCCATTTTTAATGTTATGTAGTCTAACATTTTACAGCCTAAATCCAGCTCTGCCACTCACTAGTTAGGTGACCTTGGGCAGAACTTCTTTTACTTTACTTCCTCTCTGTCAAATGGGCATTATAGTTCTCCACTTGAAGCTTATTGTAAGCAATAAATAAAATTACATGGGAGGGGCTCGGCATATAATAAGCACCCCAAAATAGTAGCCATTCGTCTTCTTATTTTATGGACTGTGCTAAAACAAAAATCTGTTTTCTGAAAATATTTTCATCTTAGTCAAGTCTTATTAAAAATGAATTGACTTCACTGGTACCATGAGGCTATTCCAGCAGTTACTTAGAATGCGCTGTTTTACAGAGCGGAAGAACCTATGCCTTACGGAAACATAATGTACGACAGAAGGGTGATCCGAGGCAACACTTATGCCCTTCAGACAGTGCCGCTGGTAAGTAGAGTTTGAAGAGTCTTAGCACAGAGCTTTTCACTACATCTGGTGAAAGACCAGTGTCTGTCTGTCTTTCTTTTAATTTCTAACCTGTTGCAGACTAGAATGTTTATAAAATAAAATAAAGATGGATTACTAGGGAAAAAAAAAAAAAGATAGCAAAATACAAGCCCGACAGTGGTTGCAAAGGGCCGGGGCGGGTAGGGGAAATAGGGAGTTATTATTTAATAGGTAGAGTTCCAGTCTTACAAGATGAAAAGTATCCTGGAGACGGATGGTGGTGATGGCTGCACCACAGTGTGGATGTGCTTCATGCCACTGAACCATACACTTAAAAATGGTTATGATAACTTTTATGTGTATCTTACCACAAATGAAAATATAAGCCCCAGTTTTCTATTAGATTAACAGAACTCTGGAAAACTACTCTAAAGCTTTATAAACTTCTATTCTCTGCTTTTATAATTAAATTGTTACAGACCAGTTTAAACAGTTCACAGACAATGCTAGTTTGAGGACCACACCTTGAGTAGCACTGGTCTAATATATTCAAGTTTGTTTATGTTATCTCATACTCTAATACTATTATCATTACTTAATTAAAAATTCTGAATTATGCTTTCTTTGATTCACCAAACAAATATTTATTGAGTTTTCGGTCCTGCGCTGGCTACGTAGGATACAGAGATGAGTAAGACATGGTGTGATAACAAGAGTGATGATTTCTTGGCACAGAAAAGAAATATAATTAAATTAATTTGTAAATACTACATGACATAAGTGCCTAAAAACACATGGTGATGATATATGGAATATTAGACCTTCTAAGGCAGTGCACATCAAAACCACCTAGAATACTCATTAAAAGTACATATGCTTCAGCTGTACGTGGGATCTACTGTTAGAACCTCCGAGGGTTGGACACCAGAACATGCACTATTAATAAATTTCTGGATGTTCTGGAGCAGTCAGTTCTAGCACCAGCATTTGGAGACAATAGCTCATATATACGATCTAGACGTGTTTTGGCATTTTCTTACGGCAGCAGCAATGAGCACTAGCATTCCTAGAACAAAAGTAGAAAGGAGAATCACTTTCTTAGTTCTTTTTTTAAAAAATTAATATTGTGGTGATTTGATATACATTTTTAAAGTTCTTTAGTCATTTAACACCTTACCTTAAAAGTCTATCCTGAGACTTCCAGTTCCAGACAAGCAGGAATTCACCAATCCCTTCCTATTCATCCCTCTGAAAACCCCTGGACTTAGCACAACAAACATAGGACGATTCCGAAAGGTGGACCGGCGAGGGACCTCAGGATTCGAACAACATGGTAATGAGTTCACTGAGTTTTCTTTTTGCCTCCCACATATCCCATTCAGAGCACTGGAGAAGTCTGCAACCTGGAACCTCCAAGAAAAGCCTGATCCCTCCATCTAAAAGACTGGGAAAATGGCAGCCTAGCAGAACAGAAACCCTTTTATGATGCTACCCCTTCTCCAGCCAAACACCAATGGAAAAACTTTCCTGCCCCTCCCAATGGCATCGTTAAGGCTGAGAGGTGGAGCTGGCCTCCATCCCCACATGGCAGCATCAGTGCTCTATTAATCAGTGCTCCGATTCACCTACTGGGGTGGTGTCAACAAGGTCAGAGTAGGAAGGTGAACTTCCACCCTCAGCCAGGGGCGGTGACGTGGTAACACATGGTACAGGGGAGTGCCCTATTTTGCTGGCATGATGTCAGAGCCAAGAGGAAGCTGAATTTCAGCATTTATCTGGCAGCACAAGGTGGAATAAGGCAGTGCTAGTCAGAGCTCCGTGCCCCTGTACCCCAACTAGTGTCAGCGGAGCATAGCAAGGAGCTGAAATACCTCGAGCCAAGAGGAAGCTGAATTTCAGCATTTATCTGCCAGCACAAGGTGGAATAAGGCAGTGCTAGTCAGAGTTCCGTGCCCCTGTACCCCAACACTAGTGTCAGCAGAGCATAGCAAGGAGCTGAAATACTACCCCACCAGGCACCAATAAGGTGTTACACATTAACCCTCTGCTTTCAGTGGGGTGGTGTCCATGGGGCCCAGTAGGATGTGGGACTTCTATCTCTACCTATGCCTGCACGCCAAAACAAAAAGGGGTGACTTCCTGCTAAAAAGATTTTTAAAAATTGAGTCTCACACAATACCCAAAATGTTTAGGATACAATAAAAAAAATATATCATACCAAGAACCAGGGCAGTCACAACTTGATTGAGAGAAAATCAATCAAGAGATGACAACACCAAGATGATTCAATTATAGGAACCGGACAAGGATTTTAAAGCAGTAATCAGAAAAAGTGTTTCAATAAAAAATGAATAATTATGAACACTCTTGAAACAAATGAAAAAACAAATTCACAAAGAGAAAATACAAAAATGATCCAAATGGAAAATATAGAACTGAAAAATACAATAACCAGAATTAAAAAGTCACAGGACAGATTCATCGAAAGTGACATAGGAAACAATGAATTCAAAAACAAATAAATGGAAATTACCCAGTCTGAACAACAGATAGAAAATAAACAAAAAAAGAGCATCAGAGAAAGAAACAATAACAAAATGGCTAACATTCATTTTATCCAAGTCTCTGAAGAAGAGAAAAAGTGTATAACTGAAAAAATATTTGAAGAAATACTGCTTGAAAATTTCCCAAATTAGGCAAAAGGCATAAATTTACATGTCCAAAAAGCCGATTGAAACCAAGCAAGATAAACCCAAAGAAATTCACACTAAGACTCATCAAAGTCAAATTTCTGAAAGTTAAAAACAGACTCTTGAAAGCAGCTATAGAAATGTGACACATTACTAGAAGGGGAACAGTTATTTATTTAATAAACAGTGAATTTCTCATCTGAAACCATGAAGTCCAGAAAAAAAGTGGAACAATTTTTCTCAAGCCTTGAAAGAGAAGGACTATCAAGCCATAATTCTAATCCAGTGAAAATATTCTTCAGGAATGAAAAGGAAATTAAGTGATTCTGAGATGAAGAAAAGCAAGTGGATGCCCTACTTTACTGGGGTGGTGTCGTCAGAGGATTCGTCACCAGCAGACCTCCCCTTACAGAAGTGAAGGAAAGGAAATGTTAAGGTTTGGGACTTCGGGAAAGAAGATAGAACAATGGAATGGGTGAAAATAGGGATAAATTTAATAAACCGTCTTTCTCCAGATTTTGAAAAATTGTTTCATGGTCGAAGCAAAATTATCACAGCTGATACAGTACTTAATGTGTATAGATGGAATATTTAAGATTACATTTTGATTACATTTTTAAAATAGGGAGACTAAAAGGATCTAATTTGAAGTAAGATTTTTACACTTCACCTGAAGTGGTAAAATATCAATCCTCGATCTTGGCTATGATCAGGTACATAATATATTCTAATACCTGGAGCAACTATTTTCTTTATGCAAAGAGATATCATCCTGGATCATAGAACAAATCTCAATGTATTTAAAATAACTGAAATCATACAGAGTATGGTTCTCTGAACTGCAATCAAACTAGAAATCAGTAATAGAAAATAACAAGAAAATCTTCAAACATAAATTAAGCAATATACTTTCAAATAATCCATAGAGGAAGCATTAAGGACATTTTGAAAAGAATGCTTAGAACTGAATGAAAATACAACATATCAAAAGTTGCGAGATGTAGCCAAAGCAGTGTTGAGAGGGAAAAAAGGAAAGACTTCAAATCAAAAATCTAAACTACCACAGTAAACTGGAAAAAGGTGAGCAAAATAAACCCAAGGCAAGCAGATGGAAGAAAATAATAAAGATAAAAGCAGAAATCAATTAAATGGAAAACAAAATAGATAAAAATCAGTGAAACCACAAGTTCTTCAAAAAGATAAGCTTCTAGCAAGACTATCGAAATAAAAAAAGAAGTAGCAGATATCAAATATTAATATTGAGATACAACTACAGATTCTGCATCCATTAGAAGATTAAAAGGATAATAATGGAATACTGCAACTAAATCTGCACACAAATTCAATGATATAGATGAAATGGACTAATTCTTCAAACTACAAACCACCAAAATTCAATTAACAAATATTAATTTATAACTATAACTAGTTAGGATATTGTCCTATAACTAGTAGGGATATTGAATTTTGAATTTTAAAATTTCCCAAAAAGAAATCTCCAGGCCCAGATGATTTCATTGGCGAATTCTACCAAACATATAAAAAAGAATTTGCATCAATTCTACAGTCTTTTCCAGAAAATGAAAAAGGAGGGAACACTTCTCAACTTATTTTATAAGGCCGGTATTACCCCAATACCCAAATCAGACAAAGATAGCAATAACAAAACTTTAGGCTAATAGCTGTCAAGAATGTAGATACAAAAATCCTCAGCAAAATATTAGCAAATAAAATCCGGCAATATCTAAAAAGAGCTATATACTCTGACCAAGTGGGATTTATTCCAGGAATGCAAGAGTGTTCCAGCATATGCAAATCAGTTTACCATATCAACAGGTTAAAGAAGAAAAATCCCAGGACCATATTCATTGATGCAGAAAAAGTATTTAACAGAATTTAACACTCATGATAAGCACAACAAATTAAGAATTGAGGGTAATTTCCTCAACTTGATAAAGAGTATTCACAAAATACCTACAACTAATGTTATACTTAATGGTGAAAGAGTGAATGCTTTCCCTGTTACACTGGAAAAAGGCAAGGATGTCCAATCTCACCACTCTTACTCAACATAGTACTGGAAGTTCTAGCCAGTGCTAGATCCAGATCAGAAAGGAAGAAATAGCACTGTCCCTAAGTGAAGATGATACGATTGTCTACCTAGAAAATCCATTTAATCTACAAAAAGACCTAGAACTAATCATTGGGTTGAGCAACACTTCAGGATACAAGATCAACACACAAAAATCAGTCATATTTCTGTGTACTGGAAAGGAACATGTGGAAAACAAAATTTAAAACACAATACCATTTACAATCCAAAAACCTGGAATAGCCAGGTATAAATCTAACAACAGGATCTATAAGATAAAAATCACAAAACACTGATGAAAGAAAGATGATCTAAAGAAATAGACATAACCATATGCATAGATTGAAAGACTCACCACAGTAAAGATGTTAATTCTACCCAAATTGATCTATAACACAATTCCTGTCAAAATTCTAGCAAGATTTATGTAGATCTAGACAAGCTTATTCTAAAATTCATATGGAAAGATAAAGGAACTAAAATAGTTTAAACTATTTTGAAAAAGAACAGGAATAATCACTCAACCCTATGTTAAGACTTACTTTAGATAATATTTGTAATTGTTTCAAAGCAGGGTGATATTGATGGAGGAATAGATACATGGAACAATGGAACACAATAGAGAACTCAGAAATGTACCAGCACAAATACACCCACCATATTTTTGACAAAGGGACAAAAGCAGTTCAATAGAGGAAATATAGCCTTTCAACAAATGGTGCTGGAGCAACTGAACATCTATAGACCAAAAAAAAAAAAAAAAAGTGAACCAAAACCTAAACCTTATACCGTATACAAAAATTAATTCAAATAGATCATGGATTTAAATGTGAAGTGCAAAGCTATAAACTTTTAAGGGAAAAAAGCCTTCAGAATCTAGGCCTAAGCAGAGAGTTCTTAGATATGACACCCAATCCACAATCCAGAGGGGAAAAAAACCATAATTAATTGGACTGCATCAAAATTAAAAACTTGGGTGATATGAAAAATCCTTATAAGAGGGTGAAAAGATAAGCTACGAACTGGAAGAAAATATTCGCGAACCACATTTCCAACAAAAGTCTTATATTTGGAATATATTAAGAACTCTCAAAACTCAAAAGTAAAAAAAAAGATAATCCATTTAGAAAATGGTCGAAAGACAGCATATATTTCAACAAGGAAGAGGTGTGGGTGGCAAATAAACACATTGAAAAGTATATCAACATTGTTAGTCATTAGGGGAATACAAATTAAAACCATACTACACACCTGTTACAAAAGCTAAAATTTTTAAATAGTGGTAATAACGAGCTTGTGAGGATGTGGAACAACTGGAACTCTCATACGTTGCCGATGGTAACGTAAAATGGCATATCCACTCTGGAAAACTGTTCAGTAGCTGCTTATTAAAACTAACAGGTGCTTACCATTTGACTCCACAATTGTACTCTTAGACATTTATCCCAGGGAATGAGAACTTATATTTACATAAACCTGTACATGAATGAACATTTCGTAGCAGCTTTATTCATAATAGCCCAAACTGAAAACACTTCCTAAGTGTCTTTCAATAGGTGAATGGTTAAACAAACCTGATATATTCATACAATCAAAGACTAATCAGTAACAAATGGACAACTATTGATACACTTAACAATGTGGGTGGATATCGAGAGCATTTTGCTTAATAAAAAAAAAAGCCAATCTCAAAAGGTTACATACTGTTTGATTCCTTGTATGTAACATTCTCAAAAGACAAAACTACAGAGATAGGGAGCAAATTAGTGGTTGCCAAGGGACAGGGATGAAGGTAGCACTTGGGAGAAGTATAAGGAATACCCAAAGGAGCCCCTTTGTGCTCGTGAAACAGGCCTCTATCTTAACTGTGGTGCTGGTTATACAAATCTTTTTGGGGGACAAAAACACATAGTACCTAGACACAAACATAGACACAAACATAGACACAAACAAATCAATGCATATAAAAAATGTGAAAACTGAATTAGATCTGTTAATATTTTATCTGTGTTAATGTTCTGATTTTGATGTTATGCTACAATTATATAAAATGTCACCGTTGGAAAAAAAAACTAGGTAAAGGGTACACAAGACTCTATTTTTCAACCTCCTGTGAATTATTTCTAAATAAAACTTAAAAACAATTTTTTTAACTAGACCCTGAAACAGTCGAGTTGGGCAATATGTTTCTAAAATGAACTTGTTGCATTTATGTTACCCCAAATCTTTCAGGAGCTGACATCTATACAGTCACGCTCTGCCTACCAACAGGAGTATATTCTGTGAAATGCATCATTAGGCAGTTTCGTTGTCATGCAAACATCATAGAGGTACACACACCTGGATGTTCAGCCTACTACACGCCTAGGCTATATGGTATAGCCTATTGCTCTTGGGCTACAAGCCTGTACAGTACGTTACCACGCAAAACAACGTGAGATTAAATCAGGCACAAGAGAAAATGATGCAATCAAGAGACACCAAACGAGATGGATAAGGCTAATGCCAGCAGAACATGGCATACTGTTTTAAAACAAATTTTTTTTTTATAAGTAATGATAAAGTACAATGTGGTAGACAAACCAGTAACAGTCGTTTATTATCATCATCAAGTATTATGTACTGTACATGAGTGTGTGTGCTACACTTTTACATGACTAGCAGCGCAGTAGGTGTGTACACCAGCATCACCACAAACACATGAGGCATACAATGGCCGCAGCATTACTAGCTGATGGGAGTTTGTCAGCTCTGTTATAATCTATGGGACCACCATCATACCTGCAGTCCACTGTTGACCAAAATGTTCAAATGCATGGCCGTAATTCCGTTCCATTAAGAAAATGGAAATAAATCAACGTTGGTATTTATAATAATGTAGAATATATACACAAGGTAAAAAAATCTTCACTAAATGATTTCAAAATGATATTAGTAATCGAATTAGAAAAATGGAATTATAGATGATTTGGGGGGAGAGGGTAATGTGGTTATTTTATAATAAAATGATATCTACAGATGGGAAGAGCTAGTCTACATCAGGTATTGTGTTAGACTTGTTACATTATCATTTGATTTGTTCCTTAAAACCAAAATCTTAGATAGATGTTATTAGTTATTCCTGTTGTACAGATGGTAAAACTGAATATCTGAAAACTTAGATTATTAGTCCAAGCTTTACTAATCCTAGTAACCAATAAATTGAAGAGCTGGAATTTGTGCTTCTGAGCTAATGCTTTTTTTTCCACAATGTAATACAAATATGTATTACATAATACAAGTTTATGATAGATAGATAGTGTTACGTTAGAAAAACAGCATAAAATGCATGGTATCATCACAACTTCGAAAAAACTATGCACTTAAATGACAGCCATTGTATTAGGGATATGTGTTTTTTTAACTTTAATGTTATTGTCATTTCAGGTAAAATGTTCATAGATTTCTAATTTTAAATGTTAAAGTACCTTCATATTTTCCCTCTATTTTCATATTTGCCTTGAGATAAGACAGGTTAACTAGAGAGTGATTTCAAAATGAGATAACAGATATGAAATCAAGAACCTCCAAATAGTACCGAACTACTGTGAATTATTATATTTTCAATCTCTTAGCTATTGTTTCGTGTATTTGGACAGGCTTTGTTTAGACTGAGGATGTTTTCTTTGAGCTAATATATTTTGAAGGAAATTCTGTCCTAATGAAATTCAGATTTTAAAAGAATCTTAGTGCTTTTCAATTTCTTTACATGTTGAAATTTATTATTACTGAAGATTATATCAGTATACTAGATTACTAGGCATGAGAGGAATTCATGATAAAAATACTTGAATGAGGAAAAACAGTTTATTAGATAAGATTCTGCACCCATTTATTCCAGTTACCAGTCATACTTTGAAGTTTTATGCTTTGTCCAACACCTTCATAATTACCCGGCATAGTTCAAATAAAATTTTAATAATCAGGTTACCGATAATCGGGAAGCCCAATGACACTATCCAGGAATCACTTTTTTATACTATTCAGGAATCACTTTAGCAAATGCAGTTTTATATGCTTTGAGAAATATCGTCTAAACTTCAAATGCATTTTCTGTCACTCTTAGCATGGGCAGCCTGATAGTATAGAGATTCAGCGACAACAGCAGGCTCAGAAGAGGGCTCTTGCCAGAAAACGAAACCGAGAACAGCTCAGACCACGAACACCAGAACCTGTGGAAGGCAGAAAGCATGTGGATGTGCAGACAGGTATGTGCCGTGCCGTTGGCTTCGTGGCTCCTTAGTGTGCTCAGTTTTCTAAGTCAACTCTTTTTTTACTTGGCCTTTATATTATTTATTATCTTTTCTGCTATCTGGTACTTCCCCTGTCACTTGGGAGAAGTCCATTCATTAAAAGAATTCATAGACTGTGTATTATTATAATTTTGGATATTCCTGAAAGCGTGAGACAGGATCGTTCTTAAAAAGGAATTTTACGACCAGAGAGGAGGAAACCCATTCGGAGGGAGCCCTCCTCCCCTCTGCTACAGCCTCTTCCTTCTCTCCTGTTGTTCTTTCACTCTGCGTAGGCCCCCGGGCCACAGAGGCTCTCCCAGGCCAGTGCCAGGCTTTTCCTACTTTTCTAGCTATTCTCAGCTCGAGAGACTTACCGGGACCTAGTGAGTCTAGCTGTGTTCTTGACAAAATCCTGATAGTCAGACCATACTTGGTGTTTTCCTTGGACCGAAGTAACAACTGAAGATTCGCCTTGCACCCTGCCAAGATGGTGAGTAGATTCGTCAGAGTTATTTCTGGGCAGTAAAAGCGAAAGGAGCAGAACCGTTCCATACTTTCCTCCCTAGCCTGAGGCCAAGTCTAGAATGAGTATGTCTGTGATTAGCCAATACAGCTGTAATTCTGTGAGAACTAGATTTTAATATTTATTTATCCCTTCGGAATATTAACTGATACAACAATAGCCACTTCTTGAGATTTTCCTGTATCTCAGAGACTATATACCAGGTCTTTTAACTGTGTATCTTCATTATTATTACAAAGACTCCTTGTGACAGATAATTATGATCCCTTCACAGATAAAGAAACTGAGGCCTAAAGAGGATGTAATTTGGTAGGTCCCGTGTTCAACATCTGACTCCAGTTCTCATGGTCTTTGCATAACACCACACTGTCCTTGCCTCATATAAATTTTCCCAGAGGTGAAATTCATTTGTCTGTATCTGTGTATAATCTGTAGGCTAGAAGGAGCATCAAGTAACATAGTGATGTGGTGCATAATTTTAAAAAATATCCAAGAATTTTCAAATCTTTGTACATTTACTCTTACTACTCAATTATATAGATAATTAACTTTCCATTCCCTATTGTACTTTACATCTTATAATATGCATTTATGATTTTATATTCTTCTTTAGTTTCATTTTCAAATACAAAGCTCAGTGCTTTCTTGATGTGCAATATTTTAGCCTGACTTATTCAATGGTCTTCCAAAAATATAAAAATGCTTAGTACAATATTTGAATCGAGCACTTTCTAAGACTTACTTTCTAATCCATTTAATTCTCTATAGGAGCTGAAGTTTCAGGTACACATATATGCTTGAAATAGACCAGAATTTCAAACTCAATGTATATGGTATTCTCTTAGAATTATACCTTGAAGAAATTGCTGACCGCATAATAGAAGTTGATATGGAATGCCAAACAGATGCATTTTTGGACAGACCACCAACACCACTCTTTATTCCTGCCAAAACTGGCAAAGATGTGGCCACCCAAATACTAGAAGGAGAGGTATAGTACATTACTTGGACTTCCCTCTATCTTCATTATAAATAGGTAAAGTTAGGCTTCATTAAAAGCTTAATATGAGTACAAACCACTACACAACAGGAAGATTCTACTTCTTTCCAAATGTATCTCTAATAGTTTTATCCTGAAGTACTCAATAATGTTGATGATTTCCCCTCTTTACTCTTCAGAAATAAAAATCATTAGAAATGTTTTTAGAATATTTACACATTTGATTTTTATGTGTCTGAATACTTGCTTAATGTATGAATATACGTAGATTTGTATCAAATGAGGAAAAACAATCTCTGGCATAAAAGATTCTGTTAGTTGCTTATAGATTACATAACTTTTATGAAGATAATCTATGTTTTAAAAGTTCTAAAATAATTACATTTTCGTATCAATGTGGAATGTATAAATTGACCAGTTTATGAAATTGAAGCGGAGAAGGCAGTGCTTATATACATACAGACTTAAATGAGGTTTAAGACTTGAAGGAACTTAAACGAATTATCACTGAAATCAGGAGATAAAATTAGTTTTCACAAGCTACACAGAAGGGTATATTTGCCTCCAAGTCCTAGAGATGGATGGATCACCACAGTGTCCTCAGTTTTTCAAACTGTTATTAAAAACAACCAGTAAAAATTGAGCAGAAAGGGCAGGGAATAAGAAAGGCAAGGATATTTTTCCCTTGAGTTTCAGAGTTTGATCTTAAAATTGAGTGTCAGGGTTCATTTTGATGATTGCACAGATCTTTTTATAATTTCGACTTAATCAGGTTTTGCCTATAAACAAAATGCTAGTCTGTGTGCCTTGCAGGGCTGTTTTGAGTATTAGAAACAGCATAAATAAATAAAGTACCAGCACAGTGTCCGGCACACACAAGACACTCAATATACAGTATCCTGTTATTGCTACTGTTCTGGATATTTTTTCATTAAGCATTTAGTTCATGATGAAAATTTGAAATTTGCTTTGTTTTGTGTATTTAAGCTCTTTGACTTTGATCTTGAAGTTAAACCAATGTTAGAAGTTTTGGTGGGAAAGACCATTGAGCAGTCTCTTTTGGAAGTAATGGAAGAGGAAGAGTTGGCCAACCTACGGGCCAGTCAGTATGCATACGAGGAGTTACGCAATGCTGAGCTTGCCGAAATTCAGAGACTCGAAGAGCAAGAGAGACGACACCGAGAGGAAAAGGTACAGGATTCTACTTTTCTCTAGTAGACGTTCTGGCTCTTTAACAGATCATGTCCAAAATTACATGTGATATGTCCTAGAGCTAAAGATCTTTGGAAATACGTTAGCAACCTATATTATTGGTTGTTCAGATCTCTCCTGTTCTCCTGATCATAGATCTTTCGTTAACTGAATTACATTTTTAAAATTCCAGCATACATAAATGTACCTAAATTGAGTTCCCAGAAGTTCCTAAATGAAATGATTTCAATTGCATATGTCCCAACCGAAAGGCACTCTTAAAGCTCAAGAGCCCCAGTGAAAGAAGTACTTCAATTTGCCATGCATCAGTGGCAAAAAAGGTGGAAGGAAAAAGTGGAATATATCTGAGGGAGGCGGGAGAAGCGGCGGAGGATCTGGATAGAATCCTGGGCCTTGCTGACCAGGCCCTTCCCTGTACCCTTTGCGACACTCTAGAACCACTTAGGTTCTTGTAGAAGATTTTTTAAATTATAGGTTTTGAAAACCTGTAGTAAAGAAAGTTTTAGAATCCAGTTTTTTAAATATGCCAGTAACGTCCAGTTAGGAAACACGAAGCTCAGCAGTCTTTCAGGGTCTTTCTGGGCCTGGCGTTAACTGTCATCCGAAGTCGTTCACCGAAACGACAAATTATAAAGGGCCACCTGAGCACCTGAGCACCTGACAGAGTTAAAACGATTCCCCAAGAGTCCAACTTACGCCGCAGAAAGGCTTGTTATTGGGATATTCTGCTCATTACTTGGTCAAATGGACTTTCAGTTTTCCTCCAAAATGAGTAATTAATTGTATAAAGAGTATAAGGCTTAAGTTATGATAAAGATGGTGTAAATGCAAGACTGTTTGCAAATATAAAATGAACACTGACAAAATTAGTTTTCTTGAACCAATCAGTGAAATCTTTATCAAAGAATACTTATTTGCTAGTTTATTTACTATAAGGAAACATTCTGAAAAAAATGAAGAATACAGATCATCTAGATTTATATTTGCTTAAACTTCGAAACTAGACTAATTAGAAAATGTATTAATACTTCTACATGGGAGTAGAGAAGACTGTTCATTAGCTTTATAGATATCACGTGGTCTACAACAAGAAGCAACAACAAAAAAGAAAAGATTTATAATTTTCAAAACTTTATGGATTCAGAGAATTATTACGAATGAGACAATTCATTGGCCCACGTTTCTCTGCTGAAAATGTCTAAGCAGCTATAATTTTCATATCAGTAATGCTTTATGATAGTAAAATATATGTAACTATTCTGATCCTTCGCTATCATCCATATGGTCAAACATGTATATTTTGAAATTGTTTTATTTGAAAATGTATCAGGAACTCCCTTTTACCTTAACCTCCATCTCTTTTCTGAGTTCAGTACCTACTAGCTGGTGAAATTCTTTAAAATCTTGATGAAAAATATGAACCTTTAATGAATACCTTGCTGTCGGTTTTTTGACACTAACGTCAGTCAAAGGTCCTCCACTCGCTGGCTTCAGTACTTGTGGAGGACGTACTAACTAAGTGACCGCCGGCGACGGCGTTTCTCTGGCAGGAGCGCCGGAAGCAGCAGCAGTGGGATGTGATACACAAGCATAACGAGACTTCGCAGAAAATCGCCGCCCGAGCCTTCGCGCAGCGGTACCTGGCCGACCTGCTCCCTTCCGTTTTCGACAGCCTCAGGGATGGAGGCTACTTTTTTGACCCCATTGAAAGAGGTTTGTGGAGGTTTTTATTCGATTAACTGGTAAAATAAGCATCCTCTTCACAGCTCAAATTTATCTCATGCCCATTTTTATTTTGAATTGAAATCTTTCTATCTCGGAAGCAAATGAAGTTCATTATAGTTTTAAGTACATACTATTACTAATATATGTCTCATAAAGATCTTGATTTTAGGATGTTAGTTTGTCTTTACGGATAGTAGAAAGAAATATGCACTTCATGTCAAAGGCCGCGAATTTGGGTCCCAGTTTCATCATTAACGAGCTTTATGACCTTCAGTTTCCTTGTGTGTGAAATGAGGATTATTTAGGAGTTAAATGTCATAATGTATTGAGAAACTTTTGTAAGCAATGAAGCACTCTGTATGTGTAAGTCGTTATTACCTTTTTCTCCACTGATTTCCTATTCTAATCAAAAACCTCTTGGGGGCAGCTGTTTAGGTCGTTTATTTATTGAGTGAGGTGTTTACACTATCCCGGTGCTGTATTCAGTATTGGAGGTTTAAAAAAAAAGGAGACAACGCTCTCTGCCCTGACAGAACCCAGACCTGTGAGCTGTCTGTCAGTGTCCCCTGATGCCACTTCTCACCTAGTCCAGTGAGGGTCGCCGTGTCCCCACTGCCACCCTCCCGCCTCGGCCCACAGTACCTAGATCCGCAGTGCTTTGTGTGCAGGTCCTATTTCAAATGGCTCGCAGTATCTGGGGCAGATGTGAGTAACGCTAATTTTCACTGATTACATATTCAATTCAGTACATAGAGGTCAAATTACAGACACATATTATTAGTGTACATTTATGTTGTGCTTCGTAATTTATATAGTGTCTTTGTACATGATACCGTTTGGCCCTCCTGGTAACCCTGTGGGGTGGATAGGGCAGATCAATTCCTGAACACTCGCTCGGGGCGGCTGGCCTCCAACAACCGGAACTCTGACCCCCGGCCCAGTGCCCTTCCCCGCTGCCTTGCTGCCTAAAATTATTTATAATAGTGAATATAATAGTCTATCACACTATTGTCACCCCACTGAAAAATAAAAATTAGATGCCTACCCCCCAAAAAAAGCCATTGTGGTACATTAAAAATGTATATTGTAATGGACCATATTTTTAAAAAGTTTGCACAGTAGTATAGATTTTCATTTTTATCACTAATGGAGACACTTGGTTTCTGACCCATTTCCGAATGGCCTTGTGCTCACATGCCCTCGAGTCAGGGCATCCTCTTTCCAGGCATTGCCTCTGTGTGACAGTCCTGCTCCCAGACCCGCATCCCCACCTCATGCCCACCTCCCTGAGCCATCTCAGACTGCACCTGTACAGTCAGCTGTAAAGGCTTTGGCTCCAAGGAGGGCCTCAGGGTTTTGAAAATACTATTTCTAGTGCAATAAAAAGGAAATGGACCAGAACATATAGAGATGCTATGGCCAAAGTCATGCTATATGAGTCTGTTTAACATTTCGTATGAAGAAAACGATGTTGATGAAACTGTAACATTAGGGGGGAAGCAGATTCTTCCCAATGATTCATAAAAATTAATGATGAAAATTAACTTTTTTTGTATTGTAGATATTGAGATAGGATTCCTTCCATGGCTAATGAATGAAGTTGACAAAACCATGGAACACAGCATGGTGGGAAGAATCGTGCTCGACAGTAAGTTCTTTTATTTTACTTAAAAGTCAGCTCTAAAATTTTTCAGTAGAAAGAATAAATAGAAGATGTTAATTTTACAGTTTTAGTTTTTGATTTTTCAGTATATCGGATATATGAACGAAGGCACAAGTTTTCGCCCTCATTATTATTTTCGGTTCTACAATTTGGTTACAATTAATATCTTCTTTCGTTACTTTATAAATGATATCTTGTTAAAACCAGCATTGAATATAATTCATATTCAGTTCACTAAGTGGCACAGAGGTGATGTGTGCTGACTTCATATAAAAGGTTATGATGTGGGGAAGAGACCAGGTCTGGCGAATGTTTGATACTCATCGATAAGTCAGCATTATAACGACTGAAAGACAAAGCGTCACGGTGATTTCTGTACACATACCTTTTCAGTGTTGATTCGCGATGTGGTCGACAGGAGACTGAGGATGTATGAGCGTAAGGAGGACAAACAGCAGTCGGAGCAACTCGAGACCGGGCCTGGGGGTACGGAAACAGCGAGAGGCTCGCTGGCGGAGGCGGAGTTCCAGGACCAGAGTGCATCGCAGTCACAGAGGCCACTTCCGGACAGACACTCCCTGCCCAGATCGCCGAATGAAGGCAGGTATACAGAGAAAATGTCATCCCGAGAAAAGGAGCTCATGGAAGAAGAAGAAGAAGAAGAAGAAGAGGAAGAAGAAGAAGCTGGGTCGAGAGAAATGAGGAAATCTTTAGGGAAGGAAGAACTGTTACAATAGAGGACAGCTTGGGCGCCCCGAAACCAAGCGACGGCCAGTCAGCATTGCAATCAGGTGATGGTGCCTGAGTCCCCTCAGGCCACAGGAATTATGCTGTATCTCGTCAACATGTCTTTTTGTCTGATGGACTGGGCAAATCAAATTTGTTAAAATAATAAAACTAATAAAAAGTGAAACTTAAATACTCCATTTATTTAATAGTAGAATATCTCGAAGCCATATTGTAACTCTGATGAGAATTATGCTTAATTACGAGCTTCCCATTATCATCATATACGACTAACAAATGTATTTTTCCTTTATCTTTCTGATTTGTGGGTTAGTTTTGTTTTTTTTTCAGTAAGTCTGATGTTTAATGTTAGATATCAGTACCATCAGCCATCGAGCTTTTCTTCTCTATAGGAAAACTAACTTACTCTGTGAAAGAAAACCCAAATGTCATGTTACTGAAAGCCGTGATGTGCCTCCTTTAAGGACCAAAAATACACTCTTGTTTGTAGAAAATTAAACAGATAGTTACCCCTTCCACCTCCAATATTCAAATACGGCACAAAGGGTCCTGTGACTCACTAATATGCTTTCATCTGTTTTCTCACGTTCCTGCTATTAAAAAGTTTCAGGCCAATACAGTTAAAATTCCTACTCACCTGTGCAAACCCACGCCCTTCCTCAGCGGTAAGCACTGTTATCAATCAGGGGTGTACCTTTTGGGCCTTTTTGAAGATATTTACGTACATATATATTTTAACATGTAGAAATATATGGGTTGACTTTTCTTTGTATCAATATAAATGTACTGTTTGCATTTTTCTCCTAACGGTATATCTTAGAACTTTCAATTTTAGTACATATAAATCTCTCTTTAAAATATGGTAAGATATTACACGTTGCAACTGTATTATAGTGCAGGCATTCACATTTAACTTTTGAATCTGAACTGGTTTCGAGAATTTACCTGCATGATTGAAAATCATAGATATTTTATCTCTGAAGTCCTCTGCGGCTTCAGGTAGATGCAGCCTATTTCTCTCAGAATATTTATAGATATGTAAGCTGTAGTGATTTGAAATACCTTGCAGTTATCAGCACATTTACCTTAATTTTTTTTTAAGTTAGGTAGCAAAAATGTATCCAGATTTTAACAATGGAGAAAGAATATCTTTCTCCAGTTGTAAAAAAGACTTGTACTGTATGACTGGATAGCATTATATGGTTCTCAAACTGTTTTTCCATGTATACTATATCATTTACACCTCATAGCACCCCTTCTGAAGTATGTGTGACAGTATTTTAATTTTCATTCTTAATCAGTCATTATTAGTTTGGTCAGCAAGAGAACGTTAACAGAGCTGCTGTGTGCCGGGCAACATGCAGGAGGCTGCAGATGCACCTGGCGGTGGGGCCTAACTGCCCTCCTGTTCCACCCAGAGAGAAACAAAAGTAACTGAGAGGTCAGGACGCTGTCCCTGGGAAAACACCTAGAGGGATAGGTTATCTATTATCTGCAGAAAAAAATATTGAATAGAAACTGTAAATCTTCTCAAAGTTTATGAAAAATTTCTTCAAGCACATGAAAGATTTATGGTATGTCATCAGGCATTATGCTTAGGGTCCATGTTTAGATTTTTTATAACTGCAAGGAACTTTGCAGATGGGTTAAACGCATAAAAATCTTCAAATTCGCATTGGCTTTGCCCACATTTGCTAAGACTCTTCTTATGAGTTCTGTTCCTTTCTGTTAACACTAAGCTAACAGAAGCTAAATAGTAACAAAATTGATGATATGTAATAAATGTGTAGAGATTATCATCTCTGGCATAAATTCCCTTATCACTAAAATAGAGAGGTAGAAGTAGTTTTCTCTAGTGCAGGCATCATGGCATCTAAGCCATTCTGACTTGCGTTGGCCTGAGAAGTCCGTCAGGGCAGCACAGGGTGGTAATAAAAGACACCAGAGCCGGACCACCTGGGCTCAAGTCCTCACCTGCAAGGATGCAGTCTTCACCATGTATAAGGTGGTTTGCCTTTTTAATTAGGAGAAAGAACTGCTTATCGGTCTTGTGGGTTTTTTAAAAAACGTAGGAGAGTGAAGGGTTTGCAGAAGAAAAGAGTATTTGGAGATTATAATTACTTTAAAAGTCATCATGGGGATGGGAGAAGTGGCATTTTGCATATTATCAAAATGTTAATGGTACCCATTTCTTATATCCTAGAAAACTTTCATTTCTTCATCATGTTGTTAAAACACATTAACCACATCAGCCAAATTTTTTATCTATAATCTTAATTTTCATGTGCTTTGCTTACTATAGAAAATTTTAACACATTCTGCTTTTCTCTTTTGTTTATAGGTGAATCACAGTATGTATGTGTGTGTTTATATATATATATATAAAGAGTATACATATATGTATGTATGTATACTCTCTCTATATATATGCATATATATACGTATATATGCACATATATATACATACACACACACATAGCTCAATAGCCATAGCCATGTATCTCATTTATGTAGGATAAAGACATTGTGAAGAGGCTCCAACATAAGTTTAATTGCCCCATAGACCAATTAGCACCTATTGTTTCTTAGCCATAATTCTTAGGTCTAATCAGAACAAACTTTCTCCAAACTTGTTCATAGTCAGTGATCCGAAAAAGAATGTTACAAATAAGGTGTCACTATCACTAAAAAATATTGTTCGTGGTATTGGATTGGTGTCTGTAATTCTCACTTTGAATCAGGTCATATTTATCTTTGTGTTTTAGTGATATTAACTTACAAATCAAACTTTAATAAATTGATAGTTTAGATGATATTTTTCTGTTTTTTATAAACCATGAAAATAGCGTAACAGATATATGAGTTAAAAGACAGTAATGGCATTATAGGCTTGTTTGTAAATGAAGTCAATCAAGATACTTAAAAGTTTTAAATGTCAGGATAAAGATTATCTTAAAGATAAATTTAAACATTTTAAATCCTTTTGAAAATAGAGTTCAAAATGATTAAATTTTATCACTATACATTTATAATTTTTATAAATATTGAACATTTTTATTTTTTAATAATTGTGTATATGCGAACATTTTAGATTCTCTTGAGATCCATATTTACCACCAGGTGTCAGTAAAACCCTAAAGTAAAGTTAACTTGCCTCCAACTTCAAAAGTAAGGTAATGACCATAAAGAGACCTTGGTAGACAAAGAGCTCAGAACTGGCTGTGCTCCTTGAAGTCTCTAGACTCGCACTGAATGTTTTATCTTTTCCTAGAGTCACCTGCCAGCTCCGTCAGGGTGCTGGTGGACTCCACCCTGTGCCTCAGACCCTAAGAGTGTTAGTTGTAGAATGGACCCTGCCTGTCTTATTCTTCAGTCTTCCATCCAATGCAGGATCCTTAACAGGTGCTAATTCAGGCTTTGTTTAACTCCTTTAAGGACACAGCTTTCACCCTATGAGCTGCTCTAGAATAGGGATTCTATCTTAGTTTTGTCTCCCTAGGCCCCAGGCTCTGGTAAATGTTTAGTCAATTACATCGTTGGACAGTCCCCATTCTTAGAATTTTCTTTTATACTCAGTCAAAGTCTGTCCTATTATATAACATATACTTTTTAGTCATAATATGATTACGGTGGAGGGAGACAATTTTATTACTGTATTAGCACTGTCCTAGACTCCAGTAAGTTTTTCTTTTTTTCCAAGTTTTATTTCTCCCAATGAAATATCACCACTCTTCCCAATTATTCCTCATACAGCATAGTTTCAGAACTTCTGCAATCTCCATTCTGGTTACTGTTACCTTGAAACTCCTTTTTGGTCAAAGTCATTGTAAAACTTGTTTCCCAGAATTAGGTATACTGTTATGGATGGAATCTGATTTAGCAATGAAGATTGTGGGACTGTACTCTCCCATGATTGTACATCACCAACTCACTTAATCTAAATTCGGATATCTAGAAACTTCATTTTTAGAACATAGGGGAGAAGAAGCCAAAATGACTTCTGGGCAGTCAAGTGTCACGAAGTCCACATACTTTGCATCGGACCATCCAATCCTCTTCTAACATATTGCTAACCAGGGTGGCTATTGATTATTAACCGCAAAGCATAGTAGAAGTAGCATATTAACAAGGAGTGAGGGACTGCTATGAGAAGACCCGTAGGCTAACATTTATAAGAGAAAAGGCAAAAAAAAAAGTCAGGAAAAATAGATAACTCAAAAAGCACAGCAGTCTGGGGCCAAAATTGAATCCTCAGCAGATCCTTGAATGCATCATTATAGCACAGCACAAAAATTAATATTTATGGAGGATGCACTACTGGATGGTGGAGTAAGGCTCCTCCATAAAAGCAATGAGAACACAGGCAAAAATTGTAAAAATATCAACATTTTCAGAACTCTGGAAAATAACCAAAGGCTTGTAACAATGAAGAGCATTTATTCAAGAAAAATGGCTGAATCTCGATAGGAGCAGTAAGCTTTGTGGCTTTTTAACTTGCCCTATTTCTATCTCATTCTTCCCAGTTCTTTGATAGCCTTGAAAGCCAACAGACTCAGACTCACAGACACTGAGAGAACCAGAAGCCTAGCAGCCACTGGATAAGAACCACTGTTTTGCTCTAAGCCTAGCAAAACAGGCTTAGAGCTCCCCAGAAAGCCACGTCTCCAGAAAATTGTCACTATTTGACCTGTCTGGCAGCTCTCTGGAGAAGTTCATTTACAAGGTTTATCTTTATTTAATCTGACTCAGAGCTTACTCAGTGAAGAAAGTTTTAACACTAGGATATTTGTAAAAGAAAAAAAAAATCAGCAATTGTTTAACAGCACAAGCTGCCTGAAGCAGAAATACCAGTTGGAACAAACAGGAGGGAGGCTGACCAAAAATCTTCAGAGGGAAATCTGGGGAATTAGAGGTCTATAGGAGGCTTTGAAAAGCTTTAATACATTCCTGGGAATCTATATGTAGGGTGATTTGTAAGGCATGCCCTGGAAAGACCTGAGAGGACCCTAATCATTCATCTCTGGCTGACCTTGAGGTTCTACACAACCAGGAATTAAAAGCTAAGTCAGAACTTGGAAACTACCTAAATAATGAAGGCATGTCCCAACACACATAGAGCCCATCAGCAAAGGGTGAAAGACTTACTGGTTCAGGGCATCTGAAGGAAATCTC